GTACTTTTGCGTTGTAAGTTACAATTTGACTTTTGTAACATGATTTTCTCGCAAGATTCGCGACATTTAAGGCGTTTGAGTTTTCGAGATTCGCGGGACAAAAATTAAAACGAATGAAAAATAAAACTACGATCAGATTTTAATTTATGCAATTTTAATTTCACACGATGATAAATCTTAATGTTCAAATTTCAAATACACTTCTGGCTATATGCATGGTTCCTTATAAAATTTTATTTGGCAATTTCGCGAGTTCGAAGATTGTGCATAAATATGTAGCACCGCGGATGCTGCATTATGTATCGAACGGCCGGCTGTTAATAAGATCACGTCGGCGCCGGGGCGTGGTACATTTTGAGCAGACGTCGGTCTCAGAATAAACCGTGTTACGTTATTGTGCATATATTTATGAAACGCCTGGCGGGCTCCCAAACGGAGCTCAAGTGTCGTCGCGCGTTAGCGTTATGCAATCGCGATGGAATATTCACGAACGCGATGTACGTACCACCGGCATGCGGTAAATATATCCTATTATTATTCGCAGTCGCACTACACAGGCCAACGATCGCGTTATCCATCCCGTATCTGTAAACAAAATCTTCCCCAGCGATATAGATAGAAATTGGCAAATCTGCAACAATCTACAACGCGCCGCAACACGATTGTAATGTTAAACGTCGAAGCCGGTTTCCCGCGATCTCATTCCTGCCGCGACGAAAAATCTGAGGGTTTTTGCCGACGTCAGTCAGTTTCAATCGCCAATTTTATCATTCATATTTCTCGGTTTCTGAAGTAAAGGGAAGCAAAGATTTGTTGAATCGCGTGATTTAAGATAAATCAGGTGGAAAATTGATAAATTGCGTTTTATAAGTTCTCAAAGGAACGTGTTACTCTTCCACGCGTTCCTCTTCCAGGGAACACATCAAGTTAAGAAAATGTGAAAAAATGACTGTATTTTGTATGAAAGTCGGAATAATCAATTTTTGTTACAAAATTGGACTGTTTATTGACGTTAAGTTTCAAAATAAAGTCAAGAAAAAATCATTTTGATTTTATACGTTTCTTGAGTTGAGACGAAAACTTATAAATATCTTTTACCGATCTTCCACTCGATTTATCGCAAAACTATGTCAGTAAAAAAATTAATTCTTTTTGCTTTCAGAAAATTGAAGAAAAAGATATTGTCTCTCTCAAAGAGACTAAGATTTTAAAGGTTTTTATCGAATTTAATCGACGTCGGAAAAACCAATGGGCGGAGGAGAGGGGATGTGAGAGAGCGGCCGAAGAACAGGAAAGATATATTATTGACGTGTAAACACCTCGATATATTCAACTTACTTTTGGGACGCCCTACCCCTATAAAAAAAAGAAAGTACAGATTCATTAATAAGGTCGTGTGATTGGTCGTCGCTTACGTAGGACTGCACAAAGCTGCACGTAAATTATAAAAATCGGTATCGCGCTCATCTCCAACTTGCGCTTTCCTTTCTTTTCATATATATATATATTTTTTTTTTTTCGTGCAAATTAAATCCGAACCGACCGCTCGATCACGCGGATTATGATTGATTTGCACGTTTATTGCAGAGATCATTGGTTGTTCCGACACTTATATTGCGAGCGAGTGATCGGTATGCATCGCTTGCTTTCAATTATTAAGCGGCTCGTCGTTATTTTCTCTTCAACGGAGATCTCGTAGCGCTTTTGCAAAAAAAAAAGAAAAAGAAACGTTTCGTTGCCCATTTGCCATAATGCGGATAACAGAGGCTGATATTAAGGCGACAGATATTGTTGACAGACACGACGAGGACAAAGATGAGGCGTGGAATAAAAGTGCGGGGTGTAAAATGTGTATAATTTTGCAACACTGCATTCTTGGTAATCCTATCAAAATGCTGAATAGTCTCGACGGCTTGTATGTCATACGTGAGATATATGTACGTGTAATGTGCGTGTACATCTGTATACATAAAAAAGCACGATAGCATTGCTGTTTATTTTTTGTTTTGTTTGGTTTTGTTTTGTTTTGTTTTGTTTTGTTTAATCCATCGACGCAGAATAGCGACACAAGACAGATGTTGAGAAGACAGCGAATACACCGGCAGTATAGTACTTTAAAAGTTGAAATAGAAACAGAGAGGTGCAGGAGGTGGATACATCAGCGTTGATTCTTTTTGAGACAATGTTACATAAAAAAAGAGAACGTCACACTGAAAAGTGTCTTTCATGTGTTGGCGCAAACAAAACCGATAGAAGTGTTTTGCAGCTCTTCTTTCATGTGTAACAATTTGACGAGAGAAAAAAAATAAAGAAAGAGAAAAACAGGGTGATAGAAATACGGAGGAAAAAGGGAAGAGATAGACAAATAGATAGATAGAAAGATAGATAGATAGATAGAGAGAGAGAGAGAGAGAGAGAGCCAGCAAGTGTATCGCTACAAAAAAATTCGCTATGCAAAAGTAAACGACTGCGGCGGCACAACGCGTGTGAGATTATGAAAACAGAGTAAAGAGAGAGTATAAAACAGAGAATGGACGAACAATTAAAGACTACACCGAGACAACAAGACAAGACAGCGATTAGACAGCGGGGAATAAAAAAAAAAGAAACGACACTGACAACAGCGCGTGAATGTACATCATGTATTGGCCGTAAAAAAAAAAAAAGAGAGATAGAGAGAGACGTTCATATTTGTCGTGTGCAAAACTTACTCGGTCTTCTTCTCCGGCTGCCTTCGATTTTGACATTTTTTGTATCATACCGCGCGGGTCGATTAGCCGATCGGTCGATGACGAGTGACGATTGGTATTGATTGGTTGATTGGTTGGTTGGTTGGTTGGTTGGTTGATTGGTTGGTTGGTTTTGTGTGTTGTATGTGGAGATACACACAGACAGAGAGAGAGAGAGAGAGACAGGGAGTGAATAAACAAAAAAAAGAAAGAAGAAGACGGAGTTCATAAATCACAATCGGAAAGAGAAATCTGGCGTATTGCGCAGCGCAAAACGAGGCTTCGGAAAACGATTATTCTTCATTTACGCTCCTCTCACTATCGATTCATCGTGCGTTTTCCGTTGCGCGTTCGTTAGTTTTAATCTAACTTGACGTTCTAATTTTACGAAAGAGGAGCATCGACAGACGATATAACGACGTTGTCAGGAAACAGAGATGAAGAGAAAGAGCAGCTCCGGTCTTGCTTTTCGGATTTGTATAAATCTTGCTCGATAAATCGCTCAATTCCGCACATAAACGTGAAACGCTACGTCTTACAAATACGCGTACACACAGAAAAAAATACATACTATGCGCAAATAATAATTGCTTGTTTCAAATAATTTATACGTTCATACAGTACATACATCCGCAAATCTCATAAATTTATTACTAGCATTAAATTCAAAATATATTCTAATAAGTTTAATACTTCAATCAAGATTATTAAATTAAAATAAATTCGATTTACTTATTAAAAAAAGTCGTCAATTTTATACAAAGTTTCTTCGATCAACTTTAAAATATTCTAAAAAAAAAAAAAAATAAATTCTTGTTTTGATACATGAATAATAATGAATTTTTCTAAAATTAATGAGTATATTTTATTTTCAAGAAAATATTTTTGGTTAAAGATAACCGTCACTTAAAAGAAAGAAAGTAAATTGAGTAATAACTTTTTTTATATTATAATAGATAGAATGATATTTTTCTGTGTGTATTTCGTAAAAGAAAGAGAGAAAAAAAATCAAATCTATCTGCGCTTTGAACTCTTGACTGGAAACAAACTATGAAAAACTTTTTATCGCGAGATCGAAACGGACATTTTCGCCGCGATCGCGTCTTCGCAGTAGCTACAGCGCTCGTTACAAGCCTCTGAAACTTACTTCCTGAAATGAGAAAACGAGACAAGTCGTACGTTAGAAAAATAAGGAAACATTTAATTGGGAAAACATGTAACGAAAGTGAACACTTACACTTCCTCGACTTCCTCCTCGCTGCTGTAAAAGACAAAACGGAAAAAAGTCTAGTTTAGTCAAGGCGGAACACAATGTGGGCTATCGGGGCGTTTGAATGGGGTGATAAATGGGGTGAGCAGGAAAATTCACGAGGGCATCGCTTTTAAGAGTTAGGGGTTTTTCAGGCTTTTTTCAAGGTTGCTTAAAGCTCTTGCTTTTTTTCCTCTCGCGTAGATTAATTACCGTCGGTATTACGTATTATACTTTACTTTGTAAAACATAAATTTAACAATAAATTTGAGTACACATTTCTTTACAAAGTAAAGAAATATTTAATTACAGTAAATAAATATTTGTTAAAAAATAAATAATAGTTAAATTAAATTAATGGTTTCTATGTAAATATTTACTTAGAATATTTATTATTCAAACAAATATTTACTAAAATTTAATATTTTTTTCAGTGTAGACGCGAGAAAAATGATTTACCGAATTTTATTTTGTTTTTCCTTTATTGTGATCTGAGAGTGAATTTTCTATAACAACTTATAGAGTAACAATCAAATTATATAATTTAACGAGAAAATATGTATAATTACATTGTTCTAGAAAAAGTTTGAAGCGGCAATGTAAGAGAAAAAGCGTTTAAAAAATAATAATTATTATGCAAGCACGTCATCGAGTGACAATTAAAAGTCGGCTGAAATGTTCGAGTTTCGCTTTGAGTGCTTATTAAGAGGTTCGTGCGTAGGTGCGATTGGAACGTGACGCACGCAGGGACGGACATCGAAACGGCAAAATTAGACGAACATGTGAAACGTTAAACACGACGAGGTCACAGATCATGGGCGATGTTCAACCTTACGTGGACGAACTTTAAACTTTGCTGCGGACTTTTGATTCGTACGAAAACGTGATCAACGATCAGCGAACGTGTCACGATTTTTGTCTATCGCTTCGATTTCAGCAAAGATCCTATTTTTCATGTCTGGAAATTACTGGCATATATCACGGAACTTCTCTCTCGCATTATGAGAGCTACTCATCATCTCGGAGAGCGGCGATATCACGTACTCATATATCATGATATATTTATGTGAAATCATTTTTTAAAAACATTTTAATAAAAGATTTCAAAAATATTTTGTAAAAATTTGTAAAAACGTTTTAAAATATTGCATTAAAATACAGGGTCCGGCAAAATGATCTCCCACATTTTAATCTTTAATAATTTAAAAATGTGAGAGATCATTTTGCCGGACCCTGTACTTTATCAAAATATTTTTGAATTGTAAGATCAAAAATTTCAAAAACTCTGATTTCCTGAACATGTTTATATTTCAGAAATGAAAATCCTCGTGAAAAATTTCTGAAATATTTCAAATTTTACAATGAAATATTTCATGTTGGGTATTTTAAAGATCGTTTATTTTGAAAATTGTGCAAATCTATTTTCTACAGAAATAAAGAAAGAAAAAAGAATAGGCGGAGTCTTTTAATAGCAAGCGCGTGAATTTTTTACGCCCTCGTCGGAATTCGTAATAATAACGTTCTAAAATTGCATCAGTTTCAAAATAAACTATTGAGAACCGCGAACGCGAACAATGCATGGATGATAATTTATATCAATCGATGTTGGCTCGAGTTATGATCGATGGGCTACTTACGAGTATTGTTCCTCGTCGTCAGACATGTTGGCGGCTGTTTAAAGCGCTGCAACACAAAAACGAGACGTTGAATACCAGATTGATTTGCAAAGTCAACGGCGAAAGAGAGAAAGAAAGAGAGAAAGATTTTTAAACCGTAGACAGTGATTAAAAAAATGATATATGTTTTCACATATATCGTTAAGAATCGCTAATTAGATCACACTGGTCGATGGAAGTTGCGACACATTACGCGATCCTCGCGAGGAAAGATTTGCGTCATTCGGATTATGGGTGCTTTTCATTTAGCGACACAAGTCAACATAAGTAGTTCTTCTATCTTTCTTGACATTCAGTGAATAACATAGATAGAACGACACTTGTGTTGACTTATGTCACCAAATGGAAAGCACTCTCATCGCGTAGCATAACACTTATAACAATTCTTGAATAAAATCGTCGTAAAGTGAAATCTGGGTGACGTTTAACACGGCTCTCGTAACTGTATCACAGTTCTTATAACTCAACTATGCGTGTAACTTGGTACCGATATCATCTCGACGATAAGCACGTCACGATCAATTCCACGTGAACGATCTCAATCAGATCACTTGTTAACATTGCGACAGATTAAAAAAATAATGAGGATCGAAGGATAGAAAATTGGAAATCTCACCGGTTACAGATTACGTGGAAGAAGAAGAGGTCGGAAGGACCAGAGGACGAGAGAGGAAGGCAACAAGGGTGGCAGGGGGCACCCGGAGAAAGAGGCACGAGGGGTGATGTAGAAAAATGCTTGCGCTTGGTCGAACCTTGCGTGGAAAAGGGGTACCCGGAGGAAAGCCGAAGCTGAATGGGCCGAACGGCGCGCACCGACGTTCCCGAAGTAATCCGATACTTCGAGGCGAGAAAGAGAAAATGCCAGTTTGCTAACCCTGGTCGCAAGCTCCGGCATCGCGCTCAAGCTCTATAAGGAGCCGTCCCCTTCTCTGCCATGTCGCTCTAATTTTAGTGGTACAACATGCTCGTTCCCTCGTTCCGCTCGCCTTTCCTCATCGTTTCTCCTGCCGTTTCTTTACGTGGACGGGGAACGTCGAAATTCGTAGAGTTCGTAACACTAGACAACCTACGTTACCTACGTCTATATGGAATCGTTGGGGAAGCGGAACGTGGGTTGCTTTCCGGCGAGAGACACAGATGGATACAATGAACATTCTTGTTGTTTGCCAACGTTAAACAAGGACGAAACGATTCACTGTGTTGTATTGTGTTCTTACTGGAAAAAGCCTTGTGTCAAACTGTGATCAGACCATAGAGATTGAGATGGAATTGGAATTTAACCAATCAAAACAAAGTTTACTAAACTTGAGATTGGCTTTCTTCCTTCTATTTGATTAAATTCCAACCCAAACTCAATCTCAGTCTCTAGTCGGATCATGACTTTGTATACTGTCTTTTGCTAGAAAGAGCAACCTTCTTCGCAAAAACATTCGCGATATATCGTATCGTCGGATTTTCGTATCGGAATATTTCTATACAACACGGATCTTTAAGGAACGTTTTGGAGACATCCTACAGACATTCTACGTCTTAAATCGTAATTAGATTAAAGCTTGAGATTGAGAATTAAATTCGATTAAAATCTAACTAATCAAAAAGTAAAGTTCACTAAACTCAAGATTTCTTTCTTAAACTTTCTTTCTTCTGATTGGTTAAATTCAATTCAATTTCAAGCTCAATCTGTAATCTGATCACTGCTTTAAGAACGTTCCAGGATGTCTGTCGGATAAATATGCTGTGGAACGATTTGCGTTCACGATTCTGCAACTTAATTTAACTCGCCATTCTTTGTCGCGATCTAAAATAGATCGAATTCACAATATGAAACTGTTTATTCTCAATCGACGAAAAGTAACATCCGTCTTTTATCTACACTATCGTCTGATATATCATAAATTTTGCGATTTTATGAACTCTTTTTTAAACACGATTTCAACTCGGAACTTCAATAATGCGAAATACGTAATAATAACAAAAATATTATTGAAAAAATAAGATAAAGAAAGAAAATGAAGATATAAAGAAATAGAATTCAAGAAGGTTCTCTCGGATCACACGATGAATCCGCAGATAAAGTTGCTGAGATCATTAATTTACGTCGTAAAAGATACCAAGCAAAATAACAAAAGCACCACGCGATCTTACATCAATTAACTTTTTCCACGTAATCATTCACTTGCACGTCTGCCGCAACGAAGTTCAAAAATTTTCTACTGATGTGCTCAATTCTTTGCACTGAATGAGTAGGGTAACTTTCCCAATTACTGTGCCTGTTCCTATTAGTGTGCTTTTGTATTTCGATAAGTCATAAAGAAAACTAGCACAAATAAATAAGAAAAAATATTTTTTTTTGTTAAGTTAAATTATTGATGCGTACGATACCGAAGATAATATTTTATTTTTTTAGTATTAAAGTATTTTAAATATTTTTCGAAAGATATGAAGAATTTATGTGAATCCATAATATGTATTGTAAGATTTTAAGCTTGTCCCTATTAATATGCCTTGTATTGAAGCCGAGAACGTGTTATGAGTGTACTTTGAAATAAATATATTGAAATAATGATTTATGTAATATTAACATGAATAATTAGTTTAAATTTATTATCTGTTTTAGTAACTATATGCTAAAGTGAGTCAAATGTGGATAGGCACACAAATTAATATAATAAAGGGGACACATTAATAGGGCCATCGCCGCTTAGAGGACTCACTAATAGGGATAAAAACGTGTTTTCTATTTTTATCAAAAGCATTATAAAGTATTAACATTTTTTAGATTAAAAAAAATATTATAAGAAAAAGAAGTAGTTGAAAAACCGATATTGATTGCAAGCAGATAAAATTGAAGCTACAATATTTATTAATTAATTCAGTAATAAGCAAATTGGCTAAAAGGCACATTAATAGGGACAGTTACCCTAGATAGAGTCGCGCTTCGTGTTCACAAGATTTCCACTAACCGAGCGATCTGCTGCTGAAGAATACCGTTCACTATTCATTTCAAAAGTTTCCTAGCATTAAAAATGAAAGATCCTTTTATCGAGTAATTCCACGTAGTCTATTGATTCTCCTTTGAGTCCTCGAAACTCTGCTAAAACATTTGCCAAGTGATTTCGCTGTGAGCAATCGCGAATTTCTCGGCAATATAAACATTGCTGATGCGAAGGCGAATTTCCGCTAGAAAGATTTCTCGAGTCAATTATTTCGTGTCGTACAACGTCGTTTTCACATTCACAGCAATCACACCGCAGGAAGAAACGTAGACGCGCGGTTCATCGCGAATGTTCCTCCAGAATGAAGATTAATAAGAAAAAGCGAAGGGGTGCGCCGTTCGACAGAGATGATGAAAGAAGAAAAAGGAAAAAAAAAGAAAGAGAAGGGAAAAAAAAAGAGAGAAAAAAATCGAGACTATCAAATACAGAATGAAAAAATGTTGAACTTACACTCGGGGTGGTGTCAATGCGTGTGGATGAGTGCTTGCGCGCGCGTGTGTGTGCGTGCGCGAGCGCGTGTACGTGGAGACGTATATGCGTGCGTGTAGATGGGTTTTTCACGGGGGTGACCCAGCTGGGTGAAACCGCGAGGGAGAAAAGAAAGAAAGGGTCCCGCACACTCCGCGGGAGGACGCGAGAGAAAGAGAGAGAGGGAGAGAGAGAGAAAGAGAAAGAGAGAGAGAGAGAGAGAGAGAGAGAGAGAGAGAGTCACGCACACGCACAGGAGGAGCTTGTCCCGGTGGAATGTGGAGTCCGCGACAGCCTGAGCCGCTCTGAGGTCCGCGAAGTCATCACGGTCGGACATCAGCGGGACTCCGGGCGTCGTGCCCGCTCCGCTTTAGAGCCTCTCATTTCTTCTCTTGCCCTTCTTTCTCTCTTTCACACTCCCTTTTGTTCTATTAATAGAAACGATGGTCCGCGCGTACACACACGCGGACTACCGGGAGTGATACGATCTTGGTTGATACTATTTTCGTGTCTTTCGCCGGCAAGTCGCACGCTGCGCTTCCAACTCAGCTCCTGCAGCGGCGACTCCGGGCTCTCTTCCGCCGGACGGATTCGACGGACGATTGCTCCAAAGTAGGCCTGTCACGATGTCACGCCCCCACTTTCCGATGGTTGTTGACAATGATGAACCGGCTGGTTCGCGAGTCCCGTCAGATCAGCTAAAAATCTGCTCGATTACCAAGAGAAGCTTTTAAAATGAAAATGGTGCATCGAAAATTAGCTCGAGGTTTATCTCTTCTCTATTTCTCTTCGCTACGCATATGATTGCACAAGTAATTGCAATTTATTAGTTCTAATATATTTACTATTACAATACTTTAATTTTTAATATAATTTGTAGAAAATGTAATCTCTGTAGTAGGATCGATTTATGGTAAATGATTCGTTAGAGTTTTTTTCTTAAGATATATTTCATGACGATTTATTTCGCATTAATGAAGTTGAAAAGTTTCTTAAATTTGTGAAAAAATATTTTTTTGCAATTGCCTTCCAATATATTTATAATACATCCAAGAAAGAACAATGGCACGTTCTGAATCTATAAGATTTAATTATTCTATTTTATTCTAAATAAAAAAGATGGTAGAGTTTGAGCAATGAAGCTACGATGAACGAAAGTGGATTGTTTGAGATGTTATTAAAGGTGTCATGAACATCCTAAATCGAGTAAGAAAGAGTTTTTTCACTTTTATCAATACCATCGTCGTTGGTGTTGGAAACTTAAGTTCGGTACTGTAATCGCGAGGTGCCTCCTTATATGGAGAGAGGCGTATGTGGGAGACTGCGATGATGCGGTATAAAGTTGCCGACGAACGCGAATACGATCTTGCGATGTGTCTGAGACTACCTCTCGAAAATTTGATGTAAAATTGTCCGCACGATTTACGATAGGAAATGAAATACGATGCGCTTGTCCATTTCAATGACAGTTGTTGGGAAAATTACATCAAATATTCTGTAAATTCTTTATAATGGATTTATCGGGGTTTGCGACATTAAAATAACAAGAGCAGTGTGATAAAAATTACAGAAGCGAACCCAAATCGGCGAATGATAAAACCCATGTTCAGTGTATTGCTTTATTAATGTGTTGGAATAATAAATGAGAAAGAGAGAGAGAGAGAGAGAGAGAGAGAGAGAGAGAGAGAAAAGGTAGGAATGAAAAGATAGCAACAGAATTGATGGAAATAGTGTCATAAATGTCAACGTAGAAGCTATTTATCTTTTTGGCTTTAAAATATTAGGTACAATTGGTCGTTTAAATGGTCTATCCTTTCCTCCGAATCTCAGTTGACCCGATTCTTTTTTGCCACCAAAACCACCTCCTAAAAAGATCATAGATGTTATATAAAAATTGGTAATATTTGTCAATAAAGATTGTATATTTAATTATTGAATAGATACCAAGTCTTCTCGGCTTCCATCCTTTCAAGCTACGACCACATTCGTAATCAATAAAAATTTTATATCCTTTTAATGTGGCATCGACAGTTCTTCTTAACACTCTTCTAGCTTCCTCTTCACTTTTCATTTCCACGAAACCATATCCTTGAGAGACCCCAGTTATCACATCTACTATCACCTTCGCCGAAATAACATCTCCATATTTGCTGAAAAACTAAACAATAACAATTTAAAGTTTATAAATAATTATATAAAGTGTATAATAAAATTGTCAAATGTATCATTTTTTAGATAACTCTATCCTCTACCTCTTTCAGATCGTAATTAGTAATTTTTGGACCAAGCCTAGCTACAAATATAGTTCTTTCTGCCTTAGATTCTAGATCGTGCGGTGGCTCATAGTGCATTATCATTGCCCTACTAACAGCCTTGTCATGAGGTTGCGTATCTGTTCCATCGATACTACCTGCTTTTAAGGGATCGTACTCTCTGGCATAAGGGCTCCAATTTTGCAACATGTTGTTTTCACCCTAAACAAAAATATTAAAAAATCAATCACATAACCATTTTTATTTAACACAAATTATAAATTACTATCACTTAATATATGTAAAATTAAATATTAATTACCGTTAAATACAATATTATGTATATTAATTATTAAAATACTACCGAATTACGTTGTATAACCTAAAAATATTATTTATGTTAATATAATTCTATATACATGCAGTTTAACATCAACTAATAATTTATCTGTTTTTCCAATGTTTCATTAATAAACGCTCACCATGTTAAATATATTTATGGCATCGAAAGTGCATTCAAATATTTAGTAAACAGATCACTCATTTGACGAGAAGTAAACAAAATAAACCGAAGCGCCAACTATGTCTTTAAAAGTGAATATGGAACTATGTAGCATATTTGTAAATTTTCTCACTGGGTAACACAGTTCCGATTTTTATCTTGCTGTATCCGCGCAAAACATAAAAAAATTATATGTATACAAAAAATTATGTGTATATTTATAATAACGTATATGTCAATATATTAAAATTGTTAGTTTAATTTGTAAAAATTTATGTAATTTATACAGAAGGTGTAAGGTAAAATTATATAATAATCTCGACTAACAAATACGTTGGATTATATATCGTACATTATTTAATTAATAAATTATAAGTGCATTGCAAATAAAACTATCGCAAATAAAGCTATTGCAAATAAACTATCGCGATCATAATCTTATTTCGTATAAATGATATGACGCAAACGAAACGAATCGTAATATTCTGTTTAGAGGACGGGAGACATTATAGTTATAAATATACAGAGTGACTCACGTACAATTCGGATGGATCATATTCTCCTTTTAATTTCTCCTTTTAAGAAGCTCAAATTGTTCTCATTTCGTGATCCATTTACATGACTTTTGCATGCAATTTATACATTATCGTTGAAGACTTTATTAAATAAAATACATATAAAATATATAATCTCATATATATCAGCGTTTGCATAATGTAGTATTTTCAAAATATACATACACAAGTACATGTGCAATATATAATACAAGCTATATGTATATTTACACCCTAAAATAAAAATCAGAGCGTAAGTCGAATGTAAAGACCGATATCAAGAGTGATAAAAGTTAACAATTAACTTTTAGAGAATAAAAATTAAGATAATAAAATGTAAAAGAAGTAATTCCTTTTTTTTGTTTCGTTGTCTCAATTTTCGATTCCAAGAAATTTCATTTACGCTTCCATTCACTCTCCCCTTACATTCGACGTATGTATTTATTCTTTATCTCTCTATATTGGATTGCATTAAAACTTTCTATCTCGCTTTCGCCAAATACATATATATAGATATATAGATATCTACTTCACTTTAAATATAAATATATACTGTTGTATAGTTTAGCTTTAAGGAATAAGCTTTAATATTTTATACAAATTCAAATTATATGATCCATATAAATTAAACCGTTATAGGAAAAATTCAATTTTATTGAATTTCAATCAATAGAGTACTGCATGATTGTAACTTGCTGACAAATTATCCGCTTAACTGTGCGGAATAGTGAATGTTTTTCATTCGCAATTCAGCGTTTTGCGTGACAATAATGAATAGAATATGACCCCGTTTTCAATCACAATCGAATAATATATTACATCGGAATCGTCTATTGTTTCGTTTTAAATAAAAATTATCCTGTTCTCTTGAGCTTTGTTCATTATACATCTCTGTCACAGATTCTGTAACTAAAATCCGACATACGCGTTGAATAAACAATGAAACTGCAGAAATAATGCAAGACAATACGTAAAAAAAAATATATCGCTAATATATATTAATGGTAAATATTTATTTTAAATACGCAGCAAAAACGATTCATTGAATCAATGTCAATTCGACATCGAATTAATAATTGAAGAATTGATGATTTCGACAATTCATCGAATGGACGGTCATTTTTCACTGGATAGTGTTGTGTAGCAAACTATTTTATGATTTCCAAGTGCCCGTTTGCAAAAACGTTTTAACTTTAATTTTTCAAATTCCATTTTTGGCGCAAATACCCAAAAACCTTAGTTCCATCGAAGCAAAAAATGAACCAAATTAGTTGAGCAAAGATAAAAATGTCAAAGGTTGAAGTCAATAAGATTTGTCAATAAGATTTGATTGAAATATGTTCTATATTAATGAAACCTCGTTGCAAACTAAATGGCTTAACTTTTTCAAATTTTGATTTCTTGCTGCACTACTTCGGTACCACCATTACAATGGTTTATTTCGTATGTCATCAAGTTTGGATGACGTTACCGATATATTAGATCAAATCAAAGTCTAAACGTGCGCCCATCCGTTTCAATGCCAGAATAGTGTTAACAGCCTTAACCCAACGCTTCTTAATGACGTAGCGTTTCAATCGGTGCTTCTGTATTGGATTCTCCAGCGCGGCTTCCAGCCAACGATGCTCTATAAGCTTTCCTGCAGACGGTCTTCTCCTATAGCAAGAAGATTAATCAGTTTCTATTCATTGTTGGGAGATGTGTGGGTGCATGAAGTAATCGAAAATTTTCCTGTGTGTGGAGTGTACTGTGATTTATATTAAATATAAAATATATATGAACAGTGACTATTTAACAAGAAATATATATTATTTCAATCGGCTCTCTTGCAAATTTCGTGTAACATACTTAATAAAAAAAATCTAGACTTAATCTATTGTGCGTCTCTCATATTTAATATTATTATACTATAATACAGAGAATATATCCAAATAATGTTATTAATAAATAAAAGTACAATATATGTGTATTAAATATAACAGTTTCCTGTGGAACTTACAAAAATTGTAGAGAAAGAATTTTGGAATTCGGAACGAATAATTGCGTCATTCTTGTTATTAAAAGCGTCACGATAGATTTATTAATTCGCAAGGGATTAAATTGAATCAAAGCGATAGAGATATCTTGATGAAAAATGTGTCGTACTCTGACGCATATAAAAATATTAATAATTGGAGGGTGTGTTGATGGTACACAACTATTGAAAAGTCTGCTTAGAGTATAAAGTATGATCACGTAGACGTTATTTGTAATTCATAAGTTTTTTTTATCGCTCTCACAGTCTTCGTTAAAGCCACCATCTCCATTATTCATTTTCATCTCTCTGTGCATAAATATCCACTAGAATTTACATATTTCGAGTTTAATTACAGAGAATTTTATGATCTTACATTTTCGTAACATTTTATATGCGTTTTTTATACACATTTTTTCCTAAAATGTCATGAAATTGCAAGATTCTTGTTTTTAATGGTGAAAATAAAAAACGGAGATGATTCAGATGATCACCGATGAACTTAAGCAAGCGTAAGATATTTAAAAGTTACCGATACTTTTTTATTATCCGTCCCTCTTAATATATTTAAAAAATTCTTCTGCATTTCTTCATAATCTCTTCTTAAAAACTTAGTTAAGTAAGAAATAAGCGTGCACTTATTTGTTATTTGTAACAGTGTTTGTCTAAAACATAAATGATCGAAATAAATTCAAAGGGATTAAAAGATTATAAAATCAATCTTCAACTTTAAAAATTACAGAAATTTACATTTTTCATAGATTAATTTTTACGATTCATCAAGTATATTATTGCCCTAAGCGTTTGACGCATAAATTTCATCTTAAGCTTCAAACCGTTCCAAAATAACATTTGCGATCAGAAAGAAGAAAGAATGGGCGCATTCAGCAGACTCAACAGTTGAATAAGCGCTCGCTATTGATTGAATATTCTTCTAGATCTAAAATTCTGATTGAATAAGCTGAAAGAATACACCAATAATAGCGAGCGCTCGTCACTCAACTGGACGTTGAATTTGAATCTGCCAAATGTTAACGTCGCGCATTTTCCTGATCCGTCTGCGATCAATCCTCGAAATTCGCAAATGCGCAATCTGTAACGGGATGAACGTATTATTTAACGATATATCGTCGGCGACGTGGATGACGCGACGTCGGAAGATTTCGCTTCCTGTTGCTTCGACTGGAAATACTCCGCCAATGAATTCATCGTCTTCCTGGCGATCGTGTCGGCGGCACACCAATCCAGGCTCATAGACTTCCTGCCGATATTGCCGCTGCCACCGTTACCGCTGCAGGATGTCGTGGTGACCTCCTCCCATTCGCCTAATAGATGCAATAGCAGGTCCTTGGCACTGCCCGGCTCGTCCAGATTCAGATTCTTGTGTAGATCCCGCAAATTCGATATCCGTGGAACATCCCTGCTAGTTTCGCCGAAGGATCGTTTCACTCGCGATCGCCGCCAAGGTGGCGTCAAGTCCATTTCCTCCGGACCAACAGAAGACCTTCTTCTGCCGATCTTTTCCCCGTTGAACTTCTCCCCCATCGCCTTGGTGATCGCCGTCCGTTCGAGGGAATATTTTTGAGAATCCCTTCGTCTATCAGACGCATCGCCATCGCCGATACTCGACCTCCTCAAGGCCACAAACACGTTATTGAAATTTGTATCGAAATTGTATCTGTCGAAACTACGACTACTATGAAAGGTCGTCCCGTTGAGTTTTCGCTGTCGAGTGATACTGGATAGTTTCTCCGTGATCTCGTTAGACTCTTTACTTATATGAGACGCGGTCATTTTAATGTTGCTCTTCAAAATATTATGATTATTTTCGACATCGCCAGGCTTCTTGATGGACTGTTGCACTGCCGTTGCGTCTCCATTATTTTCTTCACTCGTTCGCGATCCCGTGGCGATCGAGCTCAAGTGTTCGGATAGTTTGATGATCTCCTCGGCCAAAGCGATCTGACTGGCGGGATCGCGACGATTTCGCGCAGCCGTACCTTCGGAAGCTCTCCTTTCCAAGGACAAGCTGAGACTTGGCACGGGCAACAAGTGGCTAGAATTATCTCTCACGGCGGAGTCCATCATCACCCTCTCCGATTGCGTGCTGCTGCTGCGAAGACTGTCGCAGGGAGAGGGACTGTGACCCCGCAGAGACATGGATTCGTCGCGATCGCGAAGCGGATTCCTCGGTAACGCATGATACGAGTCGATCGTGTACGGACTGTCCGGATGTTCCCGCCAACGTTCGACGAACAGTCTGAGATTGTCTTTGGTCACGTCCAGCTCATCTTTGTCGATAACGCTGATGACAGGACGATTCTCGATGAAGGCCATCCTTTTGGCCGCCGCCAATCCCGCGGTCTCCTTCTCGCTCTTCGGCTTGATCATTTTTCGGACCAACCAACGGTGCTCCCGACATTGCGCCGCCGTCATTCGCTTTCTGAAAGATTCGAAAGGCTCGTCGTGAGGAGGGTCGTGCTCTAGTCCCAGGCTCGATAGCATTTCTCTTGTCGCGTGGAGACACGCGATTCCGCGATCCAAGGGCGAACAGTTAGGACGAAAATGTATGAACGAAGAGTACAATACGATGACATAGGCTCGAATATCGTACAAAATGTGTTATGTATATGTGTCGCGTTATGTATATCCGAACACAAAATTTTCGATGAAAAATTATTTGAGTGTAACTTTACATATTGATGTCGTTCGCTTGATATTTGGACGTTCTCGAGACAATAAAATCGTTTCTTAAATGCAGCAAGAGTAAAATAATAATTACTGTATAAAGTTGGAGTAACGTATATTTTGCTAGTTATCATGAAATAGATTCTTATAAGTTTAATTACAAGATGGAATTGCTTTTTTCTAATCTGCAGCCTGATATATTCATGGATATATTCATGATATATCGATACATGTGTTCATTAAAGTAAAACATTTCGGAGTAAGATAATAATGGAAGTCAGATTAGCCATGATAAGTACGGGTTGTTTGTGAGCCATACACACACCCTCACAACGAGTGAAAGAAAATAATTTAGACAGCGTAACAAAAGAAACTTCTCTGAGAGTAGCAACAATGGGATGAAAGTATGAAAAGAAGAGATAACAATAAAAGAAGGAAGGAGCAAGGAATTGAAAACATAGAAGAGTAGTACAAATATGTATATATACTTACTCTTTGTCTTTCACCAGAAGGCATTTTATGAAATCTTTCGCGTCCTCTGAGATCTCGGCGAAAGCCTCGTGATCAAAGTCGTACTTGGCAATGGTAACATTCGCCATTGTCTCTATATCCGTATCGCCCATGAATGGTGATAAACCGGACAATCTACAATAATTAATTACATGAGCAATCGCGTATCTTTTATGAAGCTGTAATATATGGGACCGTAATTAACTTACAATACGTAACAAATAACACCTATGCTCCATATGTCAGTACCGAATCCAATTTGGTCAAAGTTTACGACTTCTGGGGCAACAAACTCAGGTGTACCAAACAGCACTTGTAGTTTCTTACTTGGATCGTACTCTCTTGCTAAACCAAAATCGATGATTTTGATTCTGTTACCTTCCTTCGTTAGGCACAGAATATTCTCCGGCTACACAGCACATATTTTAAATAATTATACAAATTTTTAATAATTATATAAATAATATAAAGATATATAAAGATATATAAAAATAATAAAGATAAATAAAAAATATATAAAGATAATATAAAGATATAAAGAAAAGAAGAGAATATATATATATATATATATGCTATATATATATATATTATATAGTTAATTATATTTCAACTTATAATCAACAGTTTTTAAAGAATATTTAAAAGTGTAAAAATTTAGAAATAATTTTATAATTGGCATGTAATAAATAAAAAATAAAGAAAGATTTACAAACAGTATGATTATCTAATATCAATCTACAAAGTAATTCGTATGCAATTCAACGACTCACTTTTAGATCGAGATGCAAGATCTTTTGACCATGCATGAATTCTATTCCCTCGCATATTTGCCGCATAAAAACGGCGCAACTGCGTTCCGTCAGTACGAAATCGTCGTCTATCACTCTCTCAAAGAGCTCGCCGCCGTCGATCCTTAAATGATGGAAATTTAAATGTAATCCCGCAGCGCGCGTCTCTTTCTAATCTTACGCTCCCTATGTCGGTGCCTCGTCCGCGAGAAAAAAACGTACAATTCTAGAACGACATATATCTGTTTCCCCGCGTCAATGGAGTCGTACAGCTGAATCAACCGTGGATGCTGTAAGCGTCGCATAATGTCTACTTCTCTCTGCACAGCACGTCTGTCTTCCTTCTTCATGATGTTCACCACTTTCGCGGCGAGCATCAAGCCGCTCGTTTTTTCCTTGCATCGGTAAACAATTCCAAATTTTCCCCTGAAATAGAGAGACCAAAAAGAGATCAATATAACAAGATAAACATCGAGTGGCTTTTATACAGATAGTTATGTAAAAAAAATGAATTGAATTTCCGTTGATTGTAACATAATAAGTTTAGTATACAAAATCACGCCTTGAAATCAAATTCTTGGATAATAACAAATTACGCGTAAAAAGTGATAAATACACACAGGAAGCTCTGCCAAAGCTGTACATCCGCAGTATGTCCCTGACAGCACGAGGCAAAATACAACATACTTGTCACGAAGCCAAGTCAATGAATCATTAATGTTAGTATTTAATTGTAAGTCAACGGATGTAATTATTGCGTCTATTAATTAAATTCTATTATTATACATTAATTATTAGCATATTTCAATTATTAATTTATTAATTAATTACGTTACATAAAGAAGTCTCATGATTCGACAAAATAGAGTGGATATTAAAGATTGCTCATCTTTTAAAGAAAGATATAATGAATCTGAACGATCTTACAAAATTTCCTATCAGAAGACTGTTATTTTGCTCTTTCTATTATTATCTATATTAAATTCCTCGTGTTTGACATTTTAATTTATCGATGTTGATATCTTAAAGATAGAAAGAAGCTAAGCAACTCGGCGAGAATCGAGTGGGAAAAATAAGAAAAAATGTTCTCAGTTAATTTCAGCAATTCGAGTGCCGCTCTCTTATAAGCTCGTCTGTGATTTCGAAATCGTAACGTAGGGCAAACGCTTTCATTGTCAAACCACATTCCGGCAGGCCGACCGAGTTCACCACCGGTGTCAAGAGCACCGGCACGCCCAAGCTCAACATCGGAACGCAGTTCGACGTGCGTACCGTTTCACTCATGGGTCGAGAGAAAACGGATATTTATTTATAGACTATAGACGTATCTCCCGGGTCCTTGATTGCCGACGCGAACAAGACCGAGCGTGTTCATCTTATCAGCTCGCGCTGCATTCCTCAGACGTGCACCTGACAGCAACACAGCACATTCCTGTAATCCTGTCACTTCCGCATGATTTCGTAGAAACGGGCCAACAGCTCTAACGTTGCAAAAGATATTAAACATCCCAGGTAGCACACATATCCAAAATAGGAAGATACCTGATACGTCTTGAAGACACCTAGGTTTAAGACGTCTTTAAAGTATCTTATGAGGGATGTCTCAATATATTTTTAAGACGTCTTATGTCACGATTTTGGACATGGCGCTGTCTGGGACTCGATATTCGAATATAGAGCGAAGGTCACATGATGAAGATATTTGTATAATCTCGTCAAATATTTGTATTTAGATTGACTTTAATTAGAAGTTAATCATTACCAATCGCTATTATTTTATTCAGAGCGGATGAAGTTAAAAGAAGCGTAAGTGCATTGACTATTTTTTACGCTCTAGATCAGAAGGGTTATCGCATAGAAGAAGTATGTACTCTGAAAGTCGATAAATTAAACTAATTAAATGTGTTGATGTAATCTTCGTATTGACTTCTTGGAAATTTCCCTTTCAGTCACGACGTTAGATTCCTGGTTGTATCAAGATTAGTATGCATCGATTGCATGTGATTGACACGCTGTTGGCACGATACACCAAGCGTTATGTGCATTCGTTGATCGACGGATTTAATCACTCACCGTCCGAGCTCCGATTGGATGTCATAATCGTCCTTGAACTCGACACCTCGACGTACCGTCACATCTCTATATGGAAAACTGGGCTCGATCTCTGAAAACAGGCGTGCGATAGTGAGAAGAATGGAATGCGGGGGTGAGTAGGTGTTTGGCATTCAATTTCATCGCCAGACGACGGTGGTATCTTGAATTGTCTTTAAAATGGAAAGAGGCAGAAGGTAGCTTTAAGATTCACGTGTTGTTCTCTTCGAGAGTTTTGGCGCCAACTTTTTCTCAAGACTTCAACGACAATTCTGTATTCTTATCTTTTTTTTTATTAGTAAATTTTGTTGTGTATTTTGTAATGATTTATTTTTAGTTTTCCTAACGTCTTACTTTATTATTCTTTTCTCTTCCTCAAAAAAAAGTTTTATCGATTCTTTCTTCAAGCCCATTCAAATTAAACGCTCCATAAATAGACTCTAATCTTTATTTCTTATTAATATTATGTCTTTTATTTTTGTCTCTATTATTTCTATTTTTTTTTTAAATTATTTATCTCTATTTGTTACACTTTTCAATATTTTGATTTCTAAAAAAGTTTTCCGCCAGCTGTCTCCAATTTCATGCGGGATTGAAGATAAAAGTTAATGTTTTAATTCTCTACAGAATGATCGAAATTCCAACGGTCCAAATAACACGCGAAAATAACTTATGTTTATTCAAGGCGTGGAGATTCGTCCGAGACGTGTCTCTCTCTATATCGCTAAAATTGATTTCGTCGAGAATGCATTAGTTTTAATATGATGACACTTAGGCATTATGAACGTGATAGTAAAGATCACATCGATGTTGCTTGGGTAACAATAACCGCCTTTTGATTTCCTGAAAGTCGCGCCATTCCATCGAGCGCGCTGACAGGCGCGCATGTTTCGCATTCTCCACGAACGTATTTCCCGCGTTTGTCGAGCGAAATTGTGTTCCTAATAAAAAGAAAATAAAAACTGGAGTGTAAGTCGAATATAAGAGTGACAGAAGAGTAAACAAAGCTTCTAGAAGACGAAAATTGAGACAACGAAGTGAGACATTTACACTTTTTTTTACGTTTCGTTGTCCTAATTTTCATTTCCTATTGTATATTAAAAAAAAATTTATTGAATCTTAATATAATTCTTTAAATAACTAAGTAAACATTTACTTGCGGTAAATAAATATTTACTCAATAAAAAAAAAATGATAGTTGAATCAAATTAATGATTTTTGGATCAAATAAATATATGTTTACGTTTAGTAAATATTTACTTAGAAATTATTTAAATTGTTTAAACAAATATTTATTAAAATTAATTTAATAATTTTTTTTTACTGTACAAGCTTTGTTTACGCTTTTATCACTCTTCCCTTACATTCAACTTACGCTCTAATTTTTATTTTCGCCAGGGTATACATTGCCAATGAAAATTCTGTTATACGCAACAGTGAATAATAAATTTTCAATACTGGCAGGGTATATCGGAACACGGCCCAAAAAAATGTCTTCCCCTCTTCCATTACTCTAATATTATTGTTCGTAAAAATAATTATTTTTCATTCTTTTATCCTCTTCTCTTACCTCCCACTGGGTCTGATTCGTCCACGCGGATCATGTTCCTCGAGCGATTTCACGACGAATCGGCCGCCGTCGTGGCTGCTGTTCTCTCGTTTTCCCGGGGAATAGAAAGAAGGAGAGCGAAAACAGTGAACTTTCTCCGCGATTTCTTCCTGTTTCTCTTTCACTCTCTTTCTTTCTCTTAGCCTCCTTTGCTCGCAAAAATGAAAATCGCGGAAAAAAAAGATTTCGCGCGAATTTTACACTCGCGCGCGATCCCTCGATCGATCCGCCGCGAGCCACGGACGATTATGAACTATCTCGATCACAGCGGCTGTTTCGTGTCGCGCAGGCCAAGACGGTGGTCTCTTCTTCTTCCCGGCTCGGACGGATTTAGATTTTCGGCGGACGCCGCAAATTCTGCTGGTCGATCACGTGGTCTTGTAATCCTCAACGATTTCGAGGTGGGGATAAAATAGCTAGCATCTCTCTCTCTCTCTCTCTCTCTCTCTCTCTCTCTTCCTCTTCTCTCTCTACCTGTTCTTCTCTTCATCCTCTCCCATCATATAGATTCACAACCATTCCCAATCCCGGCTGTTGAGATGTAAAGCTCAAGAGTACAATCGTATGCTGTGATATCAAAATTGTCATACATTAACGAAAGTTACATACCTAGGAGGGAAAAAGAAACGCTATATATATAGTTTAAAAAGATCTCTGAAATTCAAAGTGGCAAAATTCTGTCTGACCTGTTTAGAGTGTGCCTGAAATAAATCGCCAAATCGCCGTTAATCTTCACGACATTATTACACAGTCGGTCTTCTTATATTTCTTACATCTCAGTGTCAATACTGTACTTCTTCATATTATGTAATGATGTATATTTCGATTAATAAAAATATCGCTATCTTTTTTTGGACGATTGACTTCGTCAGATTCCTTTCCGACCTCGCAATGACGAAATCCGTATTCTAAATTTCATTGATTTATTACGTACATATGTGCCACGTCATTTTGCAAGTTTTATTCACCAGATACATTTTAGATGCCTTTTACTTTTTAGTCTAATATTTCGGGAATATATTCTGTGGGATGAAATAAGAAGAGTAAATATGTGTCAATAAATGGAATAAAATAAGAATAAACTTCTGTTTTTCCTCTTCTCTCCTCTTTCTCTCCTCTTCCCCTCTCTTTTTCTCTTCAACTAGGCAAAAAATTGTAAAATTGTAAATGGAGACAACAAAAACTTGACGTATCCCAAATTTTAGATAATTAAAAAGTATTGGGTCATCTAAAAAGTATCCGCGATACTTTGTCACTAGATATATGACCATCAACACCATCTAGTGACAAAAAACCGCGGATACTTTTTAGATGACCCAATATATACTTTAGAAAACAATAATTTGCCTTATAATCTTATCGAATCATAACTGAGTAAACAATACTGGGTAAACATAACTGGGTCCTCAAGAAAAAGTGCTTTTATAAAACATCGATAGGGCATAGAGTACATGTTTGGCCCAATTACAGTCATGGTCTTTGGTGACCTAAATTCCCACAGGCGCACGTTCATTCCGATTAGTTTAAACACGAACGTATATGCATCGTGATTTATTACGGTATGTGTCTAAGAAGAGCGGACATGACGTTTCCCGTTATCGTTTCGAGGAAAAATCAAATCTCCGTCATCTTGATCGAATAGAAGCTAAGTGTTTCTCAAGCACATTTATTTAGCACAATCAGACTTTGAGTAATTTAATTAGCAATTAATTTAAAATTGTTTACGACAAAATTTTAAACTTTTATTTCAATAATTTAACGTGTCAAGCCATACATATAAAATTATTAAGGTTCATAATAATAAATACATTAGAGAAAAAGAGAGAAAATACAAGAAATCCAAAATTCTGTTAAAATTAAATAATTAATTTTTTACTTATTAATAGATTTGTTTTTTATAACTATTGAAAATAAAGCTCGAAATGTAAGTCGAATGTAGGAGAGAATAACAAAATTAAGTACAAATAATAAAATTTTTAGTAAGCGAAAATTACGACAATGAGACATAAAAAAAGTAAATATCTTTTTACGTACATTTCATTGTCTCATTTTCGCCTTCTTGAAGCTTCATTAATGTCTCTATCATTCACGAATAAGAAAATTAAAATAATATCACTGACTGAATTATAACAAAAAAATGACATAAATTCGTCAAGTCAATAATCGGTTAATATGTTAAATTGACATTATTATTCTTGTTCTCTTCCGACTAACGTCGATTTTTATTTTCGGTAGGGTATATATATTTGTGTTGATACTTTTTACTTAAAAATATAATAGATACATAATGATACTTATTGGAGAGAAAAAGGAGAAATATAAGAAATCCAAGAAGTTTCGCTAAAGAAGAGTAAATTAACAACTGACAATATATGAATTAACAATATTGAATAGCAAGTTTGAAAACAGCATAGTGAAGGAGGATCATTTTGAATTGAAATACACGTCACGTTCGCGCAATCGCAACTCGAGTCAATCGAACGCGCATGCGCAAATGTCGGCACATCTGATATACCACGCGTGTTTGGATTTTCTAACCTTATCTAACCTGTAAGAGCACGTTTAAGTTAAAGTTTTATGACTTGTCATAAAACACAACAGCTATGACTTGTCGGTTAATTAAGACAAAATTATAAAAGCGGCGTTTTTTAAAAATTACGCCTTTTTATATGCTCATTCCACATTTGATGCTTCTATTTTGTATGTTGCGTATTTTCAATTAAAGTCTAAGGTAAGTAAAGGTATGTTTCTCACATGGTGTTATCAAATAAAATTAACTAGCTATTAACTCTTGTTAAATAACTTTAATTCATAAATTTTGTGAATTTTAATAGTGGATGTTTACATATACATTGTATATATAATGTTATTAAATATTTCGTACTCTTTTAATTCAAAGGATATTAATTAACTGAAATACTGTAGTGATATCAAAATGGGTCAAATGGGGGATCACGATATCGATAATATTACATCCGATTGTCAAACTGGACATGACATTGATATTAAAAATAAGGAGAGCCAGAAAAAATACAAATGTAATTATCCTAACTGCAGTGCTACGTTTTTACGACCTAACAGATTGGAAAGACACATAAAATCTCATACTGGAGAGGTAATGAAGCATAAACATGAAAGTGATTTTATTATATGATACATTAATGTTTGATAATTAACAATTCTGTTTGATAGAGACCTTATAAATGTGTGTATCCAGGATGTACAAAATCATATACGAATTCGTCTCATTTAAGAAGACACTCAGAAACGCATAACTCTGTGAAGAAAGTTTATAAGTTTGTATACATTAGCATATTCTTTAATTACTTACAAAAGTTATATATATATATATATTATTGATACAATAATATATAGTTTATATATTATTGTATCAATTTCAGATGTAAAGAATGTTTAATGTTGATGAGTACTTTACACAATTTGAAACGTCATTACAAGCGTGTGCACAGCGAGAAGAAACTTTCCTGTAAAGAATGTGGCATATCTTTTAACAAGAGATATCAATTAATCAATCATCAAGCTGAACAGCATTCAGGATCTATGTATAAGTGTGATAAATGTAATAAAAGTTTTGGAACTTTGTCTATATTTAACCGGCATCGAAAGATACATGAGAAACATTATGCTTGTTCTGAGTGCTCACAGGAATTCAAAACCTTGATGCTTCTAAATGCGCATATAAAAGCAAAACATGTAACAAGTATGTATTATAGAAGATTAAATATGTCATAAGAATATAATCTAGTAGAAGAAAATTTTTATTTCAGATTATAAATGCGACACTTGTGGCAAAGTTTTTCTCAAAAGAGACTATCTAAGAAAACACTTTAAAATACATTTTGAAGACAGATTGGTTCTGCCATGCCCATATGACAATTGTTATAGAACTTACTTTTTTAAATCTAATTTGGATGAGCATGTAAAGACTATTCATCTTGGAAAAAAATTTTATTGCGACATATGCTCCATGGGACTTACGACGAAGGCAAGTTTGATACAACATATTCAACGTCATTACAAACCCAAGGAGAGGAAGAAAAATAAAGTAGAACGAAAAAAGCGGAAGGATGCCGGTGTACCAAAGAAAAGTGTGCTAAGTGCCTTAATTGGTATAAATTTGCCAAGTAGTTTAGAAAAAATGGTGATGGAACGAGAAACAAAGATAAATGATGCAGTGACAACATTGGAAGTATCTTGAGAAATATTATAATTAATATATTAATATTATAATTAATATATTAATATTATAATTAATATATTAATATTATAATTAATATATTAATATTATAATTAATATATTAATATTATAATTAATATATTAATTTAAATTTGCGTGTCAAATTTGAATTTTAGCCTAAGCCATCTTATCATAATAAATAATAAAATTAATAAGAATATAATGATTCAAGTTTTATTCATGATGATTTTAATCAAATTTGATTCATTGTTATTAATATTATTAATAAATATTACTAAATAATGATTAATAAATATTAATAATAATGACTTAAATAATATAATTTAATAATTCAAGTCATAAATATCTCTAGGAAACAAGTTCTCGTATTGGATAATGGATATTTACTATACACACTGCTGTCTAGTATTTTTTATCTCTTTGTTGGTATCAAGTATTTTTAGAGAGAAACTTGAGACTTCACATGGTTCGATCTAAGTTAGGTTAAGTTAGATATTATTAATGCGTCTTTTCTGCCTGAAGTATCGTTCTGAGAGTGTTACTTTCAATTACTTTAGTGGAATTTTTCTTTCAATGGAATAATTTTTATAGAATATAAAAATTAGTAGTATATAAGAGATATAAGCAGTGTTAATTGTATATTTACTAACACAAACGTATATATTTTCCTGTCAAAATGAGATATGCACAGCTAGTAATGGGTCCAGCCGGCAGCGGCAAGGTAATAAATTTGAATTGTTTATCAATCTCATATTAATTGAATACTAATAGCCATCTAAATTGAACAATTCTGTTAATATTTGAAATTATTTTGTTTTTAAAGTCTACTTACTGTTCAGTTATGCAACGACATGCTGTTGACTCGAGAAAAACAGTAGATATTGTAAATTTAGATCCTGCAGCAGAATATTTCAATTATGAGCCCTTAGCAGATATAAGAGATTTAATTCAGTTAGATGATACTATGGAAGATGATGAATTCAATTTTGGACCCAATGGTGGACTTGTATTTTGCATGGAGTAAGTTACTTAATTCTCATTAAATATATTTTTCTATATTTTTATGTCTTATTGAAATATGTGAGTTTACTTAATGAGTTTTGAGTTTACTTAATTTTGCTAATATTATTTCATTAATTCTCACTCATAACTTAATTTTTCAATCTATTTTTTATAAAACTGATATATAAAATAAAGAGATAAATCTACAATTTATCAATGATTTCTATCATTTTCAGAGCTAGACATTAACCTATTATTATTTTTAATATTTTTATGCAATAAAAATCATGCTTTTTTTTATAGGTATTTAGTTGAAAATTCAAGTTGGCTAGAAGAGAAATTAGGTGATGTAGATGACGATTATATAATATTTGACTGTCCTGGACAAATTGAATTGTACACTCACATGACTGTGATACGAGAGCTGATAACTATCCTACAAAAACTTAATTTCCGTATATGTGGAGTATTTCTGATAGATGTTCAATTTATGATAGATGCATCAAAGTTTATATCAGGAACTCTGGCTACTCTTAGTGTAATGATAAACTTGGAAATTCCACATATTAGTATTCTTAGCAAAATGGACTTGATATCAAAGAGCACACGGAAAAAATTAGATAGCTATTTTGATCCCGATCCATATAGTTTATTAGATGCAGAAGAAGATCCATGGAACGAGAAGTATCGCAGTCTTACAGAAAGTATTGGTAAAGTTATAGCAGATTATAGCTTAGTGCGTTTCTTACCATTAAACATTAAGAATGAGGAAAGTATCGCAGACATAAAATTAACGATCGATAATACCATACAATACGGTGAAGATGAAGATGTAAAAGTTAGAGACTTTGACGGACCAGAAGATAACGAACTAAATGAATCTTAATCATTTTGTAAAGAAAAAAAAAGTTTACATCCCGAACGTATATATTTGTATAATATATTTTCAATCAGTTAAGAGAAAAAATAAAAAGATACCGCTGCAAGCACAAGAAATGCTATTAATTTATTTTATATCGCTTTATAAAATTTCCTTTGTACAATATTTTACATTATCGAGTTTCATCTGTCTACATACATATCTAATGTGTTAAATACGAACGTGAGACATCCGAAACTAATAGTCGAACCATGCGCAATAATTGCACTTCCTTCCCATCCCTCCTCCAGATCGCTTGAATCACGTTTTATATTACACTTGCATAATATTCTTTCATCCGTGTGCACATTTTCTTCCAAACAAATTTTTTCCTTGTGCAGAATAGTTTTTATTATATCAGAAGTTTCTTCCTCCTTAGTGATGCATATTACTTTATCAGTCTTTTCCTCTTTTATTTGCTCTTCTAAAACACGAGTGCAATCGCAAGAATACAGCACGTGATCCACAACCGTTCCATATTCGCTGTAATTAAGTAATTCATAATGTTTGGTCACCTATAACAGATAGGCATTAATGAAAAAAGGAAAAGAGATCCTTTATGCCAGTTCAACTTTCTTAATTTTTTAGAAATTCTCTATCAAAAGGAAAATATACAGTATCTACTTACTTCATCGAAAAATATAACTGCGTGTCTAGGGGATGTGAATCTACAGCTTCCATAATTTGACAAAACTAGATCACAATTCGGACCATTGCCAATAATGAAGGTTTTATGAGTCATGAATGCTGGTGGATTAGGCTTAGGGCTTAAAGAAAATAACGCAGCTCTTGCTCTTTTATGACAATTTATTCTTTTATAACTTTCTCCATTTGGATTTAATATTTGCTCGAGTCTTTGTTGAGCTAATGCCTCCAATACTGGTCTTTCTAATAACTGAATGCCTTCTCTAATATTATAACCATCGTTACTCGTATAAAAATTGTGATCATTACATTCATTAGAACTATCCGTCGCAGCTTCAATCATTTCACTTTCTGCTTTATTTGTGTCTTCACTCACATTTGATACTTTTTGTTGATCACTTCCCTCATCTGGAGTAGTATTATATTTTTCTTTCATTTTTGCTTCATTAATTTCTTCAGTTTTCTTATCTTCTATACAATTATCTTTGCTATCTATTTTCTTGACATCTGTCTTCTGTTGCTCTTCTTCATCTGTAATTTGGAAACACGGTAATGTCTTGGCGCTAATATTGTTTACAGGCCATATAAGACTATTTTGATAAGAATGTACAGGATCTAAGTGTGGTGGATTCTCATAATGGAATTTGATGCTGCAAGGAACTTTTATTCTTGGGCGACCTTCCAATTTCACCTTTGTGCGAAATAGTGGATTGGCAGCCCGCGCTTTACGTAAAAAGTCTAATTTCACCGCATGCTGATCTATTCGTTGATTGGCATATTTGTCCCAGAGCTTTATGCGTTCTGTCACTCTACAAGAAGTCAACAGATGCTGATCTATGAAATGATTCGGATGATTTGGGCACATCCATCTGCCGATAGGAAAGGCAGTCAACGGTGGGTCCAAGCAATCCTGATGAAAATATAACGGGCAATAATCACAAGCGATTAATGGCGCTTTTCTGCAACTACGTCTGCATTCATAACATAAACGTGCTGGCAATGGAACCATTAAGTTGCTATCCAAACAATGACTTTTTCCAACTAAAAAAGAAAATTATTGTTTAATACAAGTCTTAATTTGAAGCAGATTAATTTTTGTAATACTAATTACAACACTAATTAATATTACAAAATATAAATTTATTCTTTATTTATGTGCAAGAAAAGGGATAAAAAGAAAAAAAGGAAGAGTACATTCACTCTCATCTTGCCTACCATTGTTATATGACGAGCTTGGTGGTTTACCTCTTCTGCCAGTTACATAGTCCACTTTATTACTTCCAGGAAACATTATAGGTAATTGTAACTCCTTGGGTAATTCGAACTCTCTTGGATTTACCAGAGAAGCCGCCAATGTTAATACTTCTAGAGCTGATCTCTTTTTTTTCTCGTTCCCCTTTTCATCAAAGAGTTCCTCCCTTTTAGAGGCACAACGACAAGCGTAGCACAACCATTCTCCATTAGGAATATCTGCCGGGTCCACTGCCGGATAGCTGTAAAGTAAAAACTTTAGAAATATGTTTTTTCCTTAGAACTCAACAGATAAATATTCAATATCTTATAACAAAAATTTTTGAAGAAGATAGCGATTGTTCTAATCACACACTGGCACTGTAAATGATAGGAAGCTGGACATTTGTCACAGCATATGAGCTCTCCACCATCTTTACAAGCGTCGCAGAAGTCACGATTATGACCACGACCTCGTCTCTTGAAGTACGGATGCTTTTTCTCCTCTTTTTCCTTCTTTGCTTTCGCCGCTTTTGAGTCATCAGATATTGGTGGTGCAATGAGGGCTTGTATTTGCTAAAAAATATAATTTAAATTAGAAAAGCAGTCATTCTTTCGCGAAGGGATGAATTAAAGAGATCATAGAATTGACCCAATGTGATTTCTCTATCTCTTTTTCACATAAAAATTCCATGTTAGTGATTGATCCATTAATTTTGCTTACCGGCATTAATCCGCCTATCATTGGAAAACCATACTCGACGGTACTCATTGCGAAAAGATAGATTGCAAACGTTGAAAATAATCTAAATTATCCTTTCGTTCTTTCTCTCTCACGATTAGTATTCACTCGACTCTCACTCCACTCGACCTCCACTCTCTATCCTGCTCTATCTCTCGCAATCTTTCGCATTCGCGTAGGGTCACTAAACTCATGTATATCGGGACAAGCGTTATGGCGAATCTTCTAGGCTTCTAAATTTTAGTGTATTGTATCTACGTATTCGTACATTATGACATTTATGTTGAATTCTAATTGAAAAATTTAAGAAAAATTTAAGAAAAAAACCGATCGAATTTCCACTTAATACCAGTAATATTCTCTCAATACAGAATTATTCATTTTCTTAAGCCCAGTTTCACAATTCATGGTTAACTTTTAACCAAGGTTTAACTTATTTCTCATCTCTTTTCAATTCTAGCATTAGAAAGTAAAAAGTGAAAATTGTAAACATTGAAGTTAATAAAAAAATTTTTCTCTCTCCTTCACTTTTCATTCTAGGAAAAAAGTTTCATGATTAATATTAGGTTTCTCTCTGATACAGCCTTTAAGAACATAGAATTGTTGGGCACATTCAGCGGACTCAACAGTTGAGTGAGCGCTCGCTGCTATTGATCTATTCTTCCAGATCTAAAATGCTGATTGGATGATCTAAAAGAATACACTAATAACAACGAGCGCTCACTCAACTGTTGAGTCCATTGAACGCAGCCATTGGCCTAGTTTCCGAAGGTTTAAATCGGATCAGAATGTAAAGTCTTGTATCTATGATGCTAGAAATCTATCCGAGACCTCGGATGAAGAAAGAATTGACCAATTGCAATAGTCATGTGATCAAATTGTTCTAATTTATTAATTTTTTTTCTGTCCGAGATCTCGGACCGATTTCTAGTATCGTGGACATCGGGCTTTAAAATTGGCTGCGTTCAGCAGAACGTTCATTTTGCAACTGTTGGAAGTTTTCTTCGCGCTGATTGGGTTATGCTTTTAGATCAAGAGGAATGATTCTATTTCAACAAAGAATCATAAAACGGTTGCAATAGAGTCCCTATAAAGGTCTCTATAAGATAGGGATTCTAGGTTGGACTCTTATAGGGACTCTTATAGGACTTTTATAGGGACTTTAGGTTGCAAAACTGTTGTGTTCTACTGAACGTAGCTATTGTATTGTACAATATTTGATTTTAATGCCGAACGGATGATCAAAGGAGAACCTAACCTGGATTTCTTTTCTGAAAGAAAATAAAAACATTGTTCAAGTAATTTAACTCGGAAACCGATATTATAGTGCCGAGATTCGAGTGGCAAAAGTAACGACTATTACAATTCAAAGATCATGTATTCAATGAACATACGCGCCGGCACTCGCATGTTTCGCATGCACCGAGAACTGCACAGCAACGAGAAATTGATCAAAGCGTGCACAGAAATCGTGAACCGAAATCCACGAAACTTGGAACGGTTGAGGATAGCAAGAAAACCCCAAGGTTATCGTCTTGAAAAACCCGGGTGTATGTACTGGCACAAGTAAGGTTTTATCAAATCATAATGGTCCTGTGACGAAATCGTCATTTACTATGATGAACTCGATCACTCGCACTACACTAGATCAGTAACATTAAAGGCTGCTTTATACAAAATATGTATAAATGCAGATAATATAATTAGTTTTGACAATGAAACATGTATAGCCTATTAAATAATGTGACAGTGTTATTGTATATGGACATTTAATTATTAACATTTATATATATGCTTTTGTATTTAGCTTTGCTGATTTCAGTATAATAGTGAATTCATTTGCATTATACTAAAGATTAATGCATACTAAAAGCTACTATACATAATTATATATGTAAAAATATATAAATATTTTTAAATAATTAAATATCCAATGATATTGTCACGTTATTTAATAGAATATATATGTATTATTTTATTGCCAAAGCATTGATTATACTATGCCATTGTATTTATATACTTTATATGAAGAAAATCTTTAATAGATACAATAACTTTTATTGTATATTATTTTAGTATAATACAAGTGAATTTGTTATTAGACATTTCCATTATTAAATGAATGAAAATGTATGTTACCTTTTTCATTATAATGAATTTAATCATAATGTTATGATTGTGCTAATTTATAGGTTGTTCCTGATTAAAAAGCCACGTTATATCATAGCCGAAATCTGCCACTTTGAAAATGGACCAGTTATTTCAGCTTCTAGTGCAGAATGGGGATTGAAGAAGCAATTATATCGGTACTGAGATTTAGTTGAATTTAGATTGCTTATTATTAATTGTCTCATCTAATTTTTTTATCCTATTATTGACATAATATGAATGTTTTCAGGACTACTGATAGTTCAGCTTATATTAATATAGGACGAGTGTTGGCTCAACGTTGTCTAGAAGCTGGGATCTGTGAAATGGAAGTTGATGCTGCATTAACTAGAGACAAATGTGAATTATTGATTAAAGAATTAGAAAAGAATAACATCATTTTAACTGAACCACAAGTATACAGATATCCAAATTCTTGGGACAGTTCTCGACCGGAAAAACCATGGGAGATTCACGAATAGTTTTGTCTCTGTATAATAATATAAAGAGATTGTGAAGTGCAAAATAAGGAACGACAACAAAGTGTACATACAAATACTAAGTGCGATGTAATCGTAACATTTGTTTCTTCTTAGTGAAAATCAAGTAAGGCAAAGCTTGGTGATCGATATATAAGATATTTTATTATCTTAACATCTATCCACTGTGAAATGCCGAATTTTGTACAATACAGTATCTAGGAGTAAAAATAAATAATTGTATCGCTGTTAAATAAATGTCTAGTCTACTAGAGATACAACGCGACCGTGACTTAAAAACTACATCATTACTTAAGGCAAGTACATTCCGTCAGACATGATCTGCAATGCAAATGGAATGTTGTTACGTGATTCTTATCATAATGACTATAATAGAAAATTTAAGTTAAGTTAGGTATACGTACATATACAGATTAATACAGAAATGATTCTGAAAATTGATGAATTTGTCCAGTAATTTGTCATATAAGTAGATATATAAGTTTATAATTTATAAATTCAGCTTACATGCTGAATTTTACTTATACAATTACCAGAGATATTTCCATATCATTCTGTATATGTGAATTAAAAAAATAATTTTGGATTTCTTTCAGCTTCCTGGAATCATTTGTTTCCCCTTTTACTACCAATGTTTGCGTAATAACGCAATTATATTCTATATCGGATAGTTGATACCTTTACACACAATATTCTTAAGTATCTCTCTTAAGTTCTTAAATATTCTTAAGTAATCCGCAATGTCGCTCATTTATGCTATTTTGCGGAATTGCTAAATTAAATCGCTTGCTCTGAGCAAATAAATAAAAATGCAATGAACACTTTAAATAATTTACGTTATAATTTTTTAAATATATAAGCAACTATTGTAGTTATATAAAGAGCAGTATAATTATGGATTCAAAATAATTTATTTGTGTTTTGTCACACGGAAAAAAATTAGATAATTGATAAATTCCTTTTAAAAAGATGTTAGAATAAAGCAACACGCGAGAGATATCTCGATGTGTTATACAAATTTACAAAACATTTGTTATTTAATTGTTCTATATATGCAGTCATTTTAATTTAACATGGGAGACTAAATGCAATTTTTGTTTATATTTCACTTGTCTCCATTAAAAGAATTACGTCGATTTAACGATCGTGTACGAAGTACTTAATTCTTACGAATACACAATAAAAAAATTTCTTGATTCGCTTAAACTTTTTTTTCGTAGGCCACAAATAATTTATGACAAGACAAATTAATTTCTCTAATAAAATATAGATTACTTAATTTTTCTGATAAAATTTAGCGCTGAAAAAGAATCTATCGCAATAATAATATTGCATAAAAATATCCACACGTACCACACATATACACACATTTGCGGAAAAAAAGAAGTTTTAATAAAATTTATTTGATGAGTAGATTTTAAATTAGAAAAAAAATATTCAAAATTTATTTACTGTGAAACAATAATACCAGAAGTTATCAGAATACGTTGTACTGTCAAGTGTACGTATATATCTTCGACAATGCGAGGACAAGTCCGAAAAAGAATTATGGAAAAGAAAGAAATAAATAATAGCGCGCTATTTGCAAGTGTGTATATCGATATTCTTTACGCAGGTCTTGCACTCGACGAAACAACACCAGTGAAACTTGCATTCGCATCTTTCCCTGATGGTCGACTTCTGCGTGTTGTATCCTCTGCCGCAGCAAAGGAGATTGCAACCGTCCATGCCGGACGAAGTCCTATTGCATAATCTACCCTGCGTACCTGTTATAAAATCGACCTTTCGTAAAGAATGTCTTAAGCTTTCGGAAAATAAATCTTAGGGGGGGGGGGGGGAGAAAAAGAATTTTCTCGTTTCTTTTCTTAAATAAAAATACTCCATATGAAAATGTAAAATCCTTAAAAGTGATAGAGCTACCTAGTGATCCCAGGGTATCATTCGGAAGGCAGTAGTTTGGCGAGTCGTCCAGGTAGACCAAGTCATTCGCAGTGGGCACGGAGAACCTAGGATCGCGCATCGATAAACGACCGCGTCGATTGACTTTGACTTCGGTCGCACCATCGTACTTGTCCAAGAGAAAATCACCTGAAAATACACAAAATTGCATCGCTGTCTGCAAGACAAATGTTCCCCGAACGACAAGTCTCTAGAGAACACTATAAAAGCATCCAAATTTTAAAGATATTAATAAAGTATTATTAATATTTAAACTATTTAGTAAAGTTATTAGTATTTTAAAGTGTTATTAGTATTTTAAAGAAAAAAAATGCGCAGGATACAAATAATCTATCGTATCTACCAAGGGTTAAATTATTCTTTAGGCTCTGCATTGTTTAAGAATATTAATTGTGTTAATTGTCGGTTAGAGATGTTAATTGTGTTAGACCTACCAATCTCGCGAAATGATGCGAGCTGCTGCCAGCAGGTGATCAGGCTACAGCTTCCGGAAACGCCGTGACATTTGCACGTCACCTTGGACCTTTTGACGACGGCCTGCGGGGGATGAATAGTCGGCGCATTAGTTTCGTTACCGCGCTTTGGTTCAATGAAATTCGCATTAAATCGCGAGAAATCGATACACGCGTATTTAACGCGACGCGACATTTAAAAAGACATTTCTTGCGCGTGAGCTAAGAAAAGAACGAACTTTACCCTGCGACCGGCCTCGTTGTTGTGCAGATTCATCAGACTCCTGCCCTGCTCTCGGCTGCCTCTTTTGAAAGTGCGCTCTCGCTCCCGCACATCAACGAATGCTTGCGTGAACCTGAACGGATGTATTCCGTTTGTATTAATTTCAATAATTAAGTATTTTGTAATTTGTGAAAGATTAAAAATGAATTACATTAATTATAATATTATAATATTTCCAATACGCATGTTAAAGAATCGGGACATAAGACATCTTAAGCTCCATCAATGTAAGATTAACTTTAATTTTTGTTTAACTTATTCTTTATCTTTTTCTAATTCTTAAGAAGAAATTAGAAAAGGTAAAGAGAAAAAAATTAAAACCCAGATTAAAATTAATCTTACCATGGAACTGAGCTTTAAAAATGTTTTTAAAGATGTTTTATGCTCGCTTCTATCAATATAGAAGTTTAATTTTAATCTCAGTTCAATTAATTTTTTAATTTTTTTTAATTCTAAGAATTAGAAAAAAATGAAGAGCAAGTTGAATCGAGATTAAAGTTAATCTATTTCATAGAAATGGACTTTAATGATATCTTTTAGATATTATATTACAATTTTCTGATTTTGGACATCATGCTATCTAGGATATTGCTTCCTTACTTCAAAAGTGACACACCTAAAAAAATTAAATTTTCCAAAAGAAAGGAAAAATTATTTTTCAACTTGACGGAAAATTATATATTGACTAATCAAATAATATTGATAAAAAAATGTATTCTTAATGATAAAAAGTTATTTTCGTTATACAACAAATCACTTTTTTTTCATTGTAACGATTTTAATGATTTTTTATGAAGTTAAGTTATAATTTAAGTTGATAAGGATATGGCTAAGATAACGTTTACTTAACTTATTCATGATAATAACTCGAAAATCATGATTTTTACGTCTCTCGTCTTTTTTTAAATAAAGGAGTAATATATACCTATAATATTATATTATTAATTTATCAAATATATATATATATATATATATACATATATAATTATTTTATTAAGTGGTGGTTGAAAGAATTTTCAGAGAGAGAGAGAGAGAGAGAGAGAGAGACATGTCGCGATAATGTATGTATCTTGAAGAGACTGTTATTATTATCAAAATATATGACGACGGTAGTCGTTATCTAGGTATGCTTGACTTGCGGGCTTTTACGATGGCCCATCATTAATCAAATACCAAAGACCGGTTACACTGTGTTAATCAGATGTAGAGGGCTAGGAAAAATGATCGCGCGCAGAACATCTCGCACGTATCTTTTCGCGCTGGCAGAACATCTTATTACCGACGAAAACATGCCTCAAACCAGTTTCCCCGGCTTCTCCGTGACGTTCGCAAGACGAAAAAAAAGGGAGTAAAGAAAGAAAGAAAAGAGAAAAAGGCGAGTTCACCCATACTCTTTCGAATCTTTAGCCTTTATAGGACCAGAGCTTATGCGTTTCGCACTTACTTGTAGCCGTATTCGAGATTATCCCCGCATCCGCCCCAGATCCAATCGCGTTTTAGATCCTTGGGCCTGCTACTCCTGGAACAGCCGCACGACGACAGGTGGCCATCCCGGCAGGAACGGCTGATGGAATAGACTACTCCAGCGGCGGTGATCGCGTGAACGAACGCGGTTTCCCTGCTCGCTGCAACGAACAGCGTTGTTTTAATTACAGAAATTGAATGATAAAATATTGCTGTCGCTTGAATGCCGCGGTTTCCGCATTGAATGTTAGCATTAGCATTAGCACCGATGTACCTATTCTAAGTATTGGACCGAACACAGTCTCATCGTGAACGGTGGAGCAGTTCCATCTTCTGTCCTTGAACTGATGCTGGCACTCCATAACACCGTACTTCGCGCCCTTGGCCACGCTGAACATGTGGTCCACGGACAGCTGGCAGAGCTTCCCTTGGCCCTGAGACAGGCCCTTCAGACCGACGCAGATCGTGGAGGCACTCGCGTCAAACGGCTCCATCGTCTGTACCGGTTCCAGTTGCGGCAAGTGTCGCAGACCCAGGTTTCTGTTGTGTACAAAGTAACAGTAGACTTAAGAACTTTTGCAACATTGAATCTGTTTTCTATTCCTGCAATAGACTGCATTGGAACTTTTTTCTTACTTTAGCTAAATGTCAAACATATATCTATTTCATTTTAATAATGAATTCGATTGGACGCACTTAGTGCACATTAAAGCCGTATACAAATTGACAAGATAATAAAGATGTGTTTATTATAAATATAGAAATCAGTTAAATTATGAAATATTCAATATACTTTATTGAGCTAGTAAAATACGTATTTTATAATTCAAAATATTCACGTATTACTTTCACACTGAGATTAAACCAATATATGTGCAATAGCTTTAATATGCTTTAATATGTTATAAAAAGAACAAACCTATTATGTTTCAAAGACATAATTAGATTTTCTTTTCTTTTAAAAAGCATCGGATCGATTGCAATAGTATCCCTGTAATCTTTAATTCTAAGATTCTTCTTTAGGAAGAGCCTTTATTGTGCAATTTGACGGCCATTTCGAAAACGCCGCGACGTCGCGTCGGTCGCTGCAGCGTCGAGACCGCGCGGCCCCCTTATAACTCCTGGAGATTTGTTACGCCGATTATATAAATTCGGTGCGGGGCGAGTCCGTCCGCATCCGTGGGCGCGCAGCGGCCCTTGGATTTCCTCCTTAATGGTGCATTTGTGAGTCAACCGAGCGAGATGATGGAACGGTACCGTCAAAGACAGAAGCCGAGGGCCGAGTATAGCCGGCAAGGACCCCGCCAATCTGAAATTCGAAACGGACGGCCGTCGTCGCGAGAGAAGTTTCTAACAGCCAAATTCGAATCGCGTCTCCCCCGTTTATTTCCGTGATGAGGTCATCCATCGAGAAAAATCCCCGGGAAATACACAAAAAGAACGGTTTTGCTGAAGTATCTAAATATTGAATTGGCAAGGAAGTAATTGCGTTTTTTTAGTTGTATCTATTTTTCAAAGTTGTATATACAATATCTTCGTCAATAATGAATAAAATTTAAATTTATAAAAAGAGTTTTAAAGTTTGAAATTTCCACTTTTAAAAGCTTACCACATTTTTTAAGTTTATATGAGTTTGATAATTTTTACATATCAAAAACTACGAGCTGAAAAAGACGGAAAATTTTCTTCTCACTTTATGGATTTGTAACGTGTCCAAAACAAATTTGAGAAAACTACAAAATCGTTTTTTTTAATATTCCTATGATTTTTGGTTATTGAGTTATCGCGGATTAAATAAAAGCATTATTTTGATTTTAATTGCTCATAACTCCGTTAAAAATCGTCGTATCACAATTCAAAAAAGAGATTCTTGAAGGTGAAATTTTACTCTATCAAGATATATTTATATTAAGTTGGTATAGTTTAGTTGGTAAGAAAGTAATTGCGGTTTTTACTGATAGATGCCTTTTCAAAAAACGCAATTACTTTCTTGCCCAATAGTTACAGATCTGAAAATAATTTTAATTGAGCATCAAAATCATTATGTAGAACGCCTGAATGTTAATGATAATGTTGCAAACAATTTTAATTTTTCTAATAATTAGTTTAAGCGGCTTATATAACTATTTTGATGTTCAAACAAAATTATTTTCTTTAGCTAGCTAAATTTTTTGGATACTTTAGAAAAGCTACTTTTTTTTGTAATTGACAAAATCGCAGACGAATTTGATAGATTTCGACTTGGGGATTTGAACGCTCGCAATTTCTACTCAGTGACTCCGATAAACTTCTCATTAGTTAACAATGATTAATCTACCGATGCTGCATATACAATTTGCGTAAATATTTATATGTTTTTATTATTTTATCACGACAAAACTTTGATAAATCCTAAATTTTAAGTATATTATATTTTTAAGTATATTAATCTTAAAGAACGATTTCGCTGAAGTAAAAATTTAGCTAGATACAAATCTGAAAATAATTTTATTTGGACCATCAAAATGTAGGTCACTTAAACTGATTATAAGAACGTTAAAACTGTTTGCAGAATTGTCATTAACATTCAAGCGTTCTACATAATTATTTTGATGGTCCAACAAAATTATTTTCAGACCTGCATCTAATTAAATATGTTTAAATATTTTAACAAAACCGTTCTTTCTGTGTGTATATTTTTAGATATATTATCAAAAACACACAGATATAGAATTATCACGACAAGAGATACATATTTATGTAATATTATAAATATATTAATATTTGCAAAGTATTTTTTGTACGGTAAGATACAATTTCGAACACAATACATTTCTGAACGAAATAAAATTTGAATTCAATTTCCAAAGTACAAGTTTGGTAATCCTTTTGTTGGTATAAATGGTATTGAAGAATATCAAACAAATTAAAAATCCTTCAAATCTTATTTTGTTCAGAATTGTATCATGTTTCAAAATTGTGCCACCTCTATCGGGCAGGTTTCATTCGGGCGCTGTATAATTTAAAAGAATACACTTTTCAATTACATCTTATAATTTCAGGTCTAGACTTATGTCTCCCAATCGCTTTCGTTCAGTCACGACATATGCAGCAAGTCGCGACAACCTGCACGGCGACTCGGTGCAACCTGGACGACCTGCCCGAGCGTGACTCAGGTGAATACTCGTCGGGATTGTCGGTGATGTGACGCGACCGCTTGAGATGTATCAACAGCGTGAGTTACTTGGGAATTTCTACAGAGTGATTATGATTCGTGATTTCAAGCTGTTAGTACATCAGTTTCACATTAAAAATTGAGTAATTTTCGCCTGAAATACTATATATTGTGCAATAAATCAAATTTATTAACGGAAACTAACAATTACTTTGAAATAGGAAAAGGAATGCTCCTCTTCGAGATGTTTCTTGTTTCGGTATCGGAATTACTATAGAAAACAGAATTCCGGTATTCCCATCTCCATCGAGGTTCATTCTTGGGAATTTCTCGAACGGAACGATCGAAAGATTTCGTGATTTCAAGCTATTAGTGCATCAATTTCATAAAAAATTGAGTAAAATATTACACAATAAATGGAAAATTTATTAGCGAGAACCACCACGTTGAAATGGGAAAAGAGATGCTTGTCCTCGAAATGTTTTCTTGTATCGGAATTACTGGAAAAAACATGAGAATCTCAGTATTCCCGCCTCCAACGAGGTCCATCCAAAGTTGTCGCGATCGAGAGAGAGTGAAAGAGAGAGAAAGAGAAGTCGTAAAAGCTCGCGCGTGAGTGTCTAGGGAGTGTAATAGACGACATTAATATTCTGGAACACGCTCCGACGGCGATATATCATCGGCTTTACACTCCCCTAAAACAATGGCGCGGACAAACCTCGCGGGCCAGGGAAGAGGGGGAGGGTATGCGCGGCGGAAAGAGCGATAATATTTCGACGGGGTACGACCCACGCAACGCTCGCGTGCTCGGGGCACCATCGTCGCTAGTCGTCGCGTCGCGTCGCGTTGCGTCGCGTCGTGGGCCGCAGGGCCCGCAAAATAATGCCCCGTGTCTCCTAAGAGATTGCGGTTACATCCGCAGCGACGCGCGTTCGCATATACAGGGTGTCCCGAGGCAATCGCGAGCCGCGGGACGAAATGGGATTCTGTCACGTTGTAAAGGATTGAAGGTAATTAAGACAACGAGACGATTAATCGAGTGACGCGGGAATTGCAGATATATATGTATATATATATATAATATAATGTATTATATTGGGTCATTTAAAAAGTATCCGCGGTTTTTTCATTTAAAAATTGAACAAAAAACCGCAGATACTTTTTAAATGACCTAATACAATAGAACTGTGTGTGATAACACAAACTATAGAAATCAAATCTTTAAATCGTCTAGCTGGATCTTAAATGCTTGTATGATTCTTATGTGAATTTATATACGCATGTAGTTCCCAGAAATGCGCGCCGAAATGATTTTTCGGTCTTGAAAACGCTAACTCTACTAAACTACCGCAGTAATATCACGAGTTAAATTGGTTATTAATTTAACAAATTTTTTCTTATTCGCATTTCCAAAACAATCTTAATAATGTTGAATACATATTGAAATCTATATATAAATAGTATATAAATTCATATAAGCATTTAAGATCCAGCCGTTGATTAGGGGAATTGAACTAATGCTTGTACGTCGGAAATGCGATGATTTCTGACTTTTGCTCCTTCGTTACAGATTAGCCGAACAAGAGCGTGTTCGAGAGTCAAGGGGATCAGCAACCTCAGGGGAGGCTTACAAGCGCACTCTGAAGAAAAAAAGCAGACGGTTAAGCGAGGATTTCCTTGCGAGAGATATAGGGTACGAGAGGTAAATTCGGCGCGAAGGAGGTCCGGGGGCGATCCGGACGGCACACAAAGGAGCGCGGGCGTCCGGGACCATTCGATGATTGGTCATGCTCACACGGGATAGAACACAGGGGCCGGAATGGCAATTCAGAGATTAGACACACTCCTGGCAAACAGGGCGGAGTACACGAGCGACGTGGGGACGTATAGCTTTCGTTCGTGCACGAAAGAGAGAGGTTTTCGGGGGCACAAGAGATACCTCGTTCGGATTCCCACGATGCACCGTGAGCACAAAGACCTATAAATCTGGAATCGTGTGAAGAATCGTGTCGATTCGTCTCTTCGCGACATGTCTACTTATCGTTTCGGACAATCGTCATCGTGCAATTAAATCTTCGTTTTCGACGAAGAGAAATCACGAGTCGATTATATTTTCGTGATGGGAAATATAATATAAGGTTTCTTCTTTGTCGCTTGCCTTGGAGGATTGCACGAAAATTTTATTTCTTGTTTTTGCTATAATTTGAAATATATACATATTTATTTCACTTTAATTTCACTTTAAGAATAAAAGTATACGGTAGGTTAAAACTTCAAAGGCTGTATTTAAAAATCCACTGTCATTACTGAATGTCTATATTGTACGTAACGTAAATTTGGAATACAGCCAAAAAAACACATCTTATATGGAAAGAAATATTTTGCTGAAGTATATAAAAATTTAGTTCGACACAGATCTGAAAATAATTTTGTTTGAGTTATGAAAATAATTATGTAGGACATTCAAACTGATAAAATGTTAAAACTTTTTGTATCATTATCATCAACGTTTAAGTCTACAATTATTTTGATAGTTCAACAAAATTATTTTGTAATCTTGTATCTAACTAATTTTTAGATACTTTTCGCAGTTTCCGTGTACAATTCAACGATTCAAGACAGTAATATGACCATCAATGTGAACAAAATAACGTTTTCGTCACCTCCTCTTTAACGAAGAATGTAAAGAAGGATAAATCATTTAAGATAAACTGCTTGTTTAGCAATTCAGTGACTTAATTTGCCTTAAATAAATTTATTCATTCGCTCGCCTGTCGACTTCATGTCCATGTACACTAGAATTTAAATTATCCGAGCCAATATCGGAAATCATGGCAACCAGATCATCGAAAATTCGATGAAACGACGTTCAGAGATAATGAAGCTTTTACTGTAAGAACGGCACCCCACTGGTGCTAGTTCATCCTTCGATCGGCGATATGTAGGGCACCCCTTGTCCTTCGACATCAGCTTATTTTAAGAGTCGCGCGAGCCTAATGAAAAAAATCGCATCCCGTCTAACTATAAATACGCGCTATGAAACTAATTGATACCTTCGATCGCCTGATTGGAAAAACAAGAAAAGAAAAAAATCATCACATAGCGCGAAAGATATACTGATATTAAAAGATACTTACATCCAAGTCCCCGGTACCGTCGTAGCGGCGGCGGCGACCATCAGCGATCGCAAGATCACAAGTGGACCATTGCCGCGCATCGTCATCCTTCTCCTTCACCCTCTGCAAGCATCGAAGGAAATCATCAATTTCGTATTACAAGTATTCGCACAGCGGAGGCACCGTATTAATCGCTTCATTAGGAAGACCGCCGGCGCAGTCGGCCGTGAATCGTACCTATCCGAACGAAAAAGGTGCGGTGACCGCGGAACGGTGAAATCAAGGTCAGATCGATGCATCATACGATCGTTAGCGGAAAAATCGAGTTTCAATTAAACGCCGAGCTTTAAGAGTGAAGTCTAGAAATGCGAGAAACAGCGTGTTCAGAGGCTAGCGAAATTAAGATTCACATAGTGAGACCTGTTTCTCCTCGATCGTTCGCAGAGTAATATAACTGAGGAATAGACTCTTTTAAAATACATTTTGTTCAAAATTTGTAATTTTCAGAAAACGAGAAAGAAAGAAATTACGCACACAAGACGCATCTACGTACTTTACAGAAAATAATAATATATCAATCAGTAGGATGTCAAATATTAAATAAAATTGCTAAATAATTGCTAAAAATGTTCAACAAATGCATTTTGTTTGTCTCCATACGGAGAGAATTTTTTTTTTAATTTATCCTGAAATATATAACCCTATAGTAGTCGTGGTACAATATAATATTTTAAAGATTTTTACCATGCACTTCAGTAAAATTAATCAAACTTATTTTATATTTTTGCAATTTTATTAATGAATGAGAAAGATTTACATTGAAATTGCTCGAAATACAATGTTGTCCTACGACTACCATTTTCATTTTAAACTCTAAGAAAAAATTCTCTTCATGTAATTAAAATCATAATGCCTTTCGAAACGTCTATGTTTTTCCAACATATAAATTAACGATGAAAAAGTGCTTTCTGAACATCTCAGCTTATAATATGAATCTTTCAACACTAAACATTCCGACATTTCATTAAAAAAGTGAAATTTTGGACAAAATGCATTTTGAAAGTCTATTTCTCAACTATGGAAGACTGTTATATGTCGCATACTAGCTCTCGAGACTTGAAGTATGTAAGATAATCATAAATAGTCACTACATCTGCAGCTGAAATAGTTACGATTTACATTAACGATATATTTCATTATTTAGACGCGAATAAGAATAAATAATTCGTGGTTGTATTTGATCCTGTCCAGACTCAGTAATGTATACGAAAATATTTCGATCCGAACAGAGCTCGCATTTTCGAGCAGACCGTGCAATCCTTCTTAATGTCCAGATCGAACGTGTGTTCAGCTGAAAGTACGACAACGTATGGCATGGGACCAACTGATAAACTCTGCGGATCGTAATTCAACGCCCGCTGATATCAACAGTTTGTGTAACGTGAGAGCGATGCCACATTTATACGAACGCGTGCAAGGTGTAACGTCGAAGTGGTGTACCATAATCGTCCCTCGGGAGGACTCGGTTGTCCCTTCATCCGTCCCGAGGTCAATCCGTGGCGAAGCTGGCTCTGGAACCCACGGAGGACAGTGACGTAGCCGAAACGCGCGCGAGCCCGCGTATGCGAAGCTCGCGTGAAGCCGCTCCTACGTCCGCTTTCGTCAACGTCAAGTACCATCTTACGGCCACATTATGTAAATAGCGTCGCGAGTAAACCCTTTTAACATAACGGTGCCGGACTTTGTCAATCCGATTTAATCATTAGTCCAGTATCTCACACAACATAATTCTCTAAAGAAATGATCCAGAGGATCTGTTGGGATATTCTACGGACGTTCTGAGAATATCATTCGGAGAACTGAGTTGTGTGGGACATATTTGAAACGCTTTAAAATGTCTCAAATATCAATTGCAGGCATCAAACATCATGGCACGTGTCGCCCGATTCCTTGATCGTTTCTGTGTGAATTTTCTATGTGACGAGGAGAGAGAGAAAGAGAGAAAGAGAGAAAGACGGTAGCTCCTTGCCAGCTTTCGCGGAGCGAAGGCTAGCTCTCACCATAAGCGCGGTGGCTATACATCCCTGCTGCGGAACTGGTATATACATATACTGGTACGTACGCAGGTGTACACAAGTACGTGTACTTATACAGCACATCGCCGTTTATCTAGCCCACGCGATCGACCCGGCGATATTAGCCGGCGCATAAAACGCATTTGCGATCACGGCGGGAATGTAAACGGCGCGCACTTCGGCGTACGCGTCCCCGCCGTGGACCAGCCGCGGATTATCAGCGGTAAAGTATCTCGTTCGAGGCTCGAGGCTGAACAAGACATGTCCGGGGCGATATAGGATGCAATAAGCGCCGTTTGCCGTCTGCAACGAAATGAGCCAATTGCCAATTCCATATGGTTGCGCCGTACACGGGTATATAGTTATAATGAGTAGCGAACGGATCGAAGAAGCAGAAGGAGAAAGAGAGAGAATCTCAAATCTAATATTAGGTGCACGTGCATAACGACGTACTTTGCTCGGCTACTCGAATAGTCGCGCTTGCATAATCCCGACAGAAGCCGGTAACACGTCAGCTGCCGAATCGTAAAATGTGATCGTATAACGTGAGGGCGATTAAAACGTTCGGAAATTTAGCGACGAATTTTATATTCGCTGTTAACGCGATGTATTTGCGGTAGATTCTTTCCGAAGAAGTGGCAAAAAAAAGAAACTAATGAGTGATGCGAGAAATTCCTCTTCTTTGTTTCGAATTTCTAGATTATACCTTAGGTAGACACAGATATCGTAATAAAGACATAATAATGATATCATTAGACATCATAATGATGACATTTACTTAAAAATACTTAAAAATTGAACTTATAAGTACCAAAAAAACACGTCAAGTTAAGAGAAAGTAAAAATGATTTTTGGTTACAAAATTTGATTATTGACGTTAAGAATAAAAATAAAGTCTAAATAATTTTGATTTTTTTGTTTATGTGTTCTTTAGATAAATGACAGATAAGATCATGATAATGTATTATATTATTATTATATTATGACTTCTGTCTTCTACTTGAGATATAACTCGTTTTAAGCACCGAGTTCAAAATGAGCTTAATGAAGCTTATGTTCGCTTGAATTGCTTATGTTCGCTTTACTGCGTTCCTCGCTTGCCATATAATTGGCGTTATCTCAAGTTTTTCTAATTGTGAATTTATCCGAGATGGGACAGATAAAATGTCAATTCGCGTTGCCGGTCGCGATCCCGAAATGCAATCGCGGAAAGTCGCAAGAGGAAAAAGAGAAATAAAATTCGTTTAAGGATCTCGGGGCAGATTATCGAGTCGTCGATATAGGTAGGTCGTTAATTGTATTCACTAGATAAGATAGCGCGCCAGAGAGCATTCGAAGGTCCAAGTCGCGACAAACTGTCCCCCCGAGGGAAGGGGAGGGGGGGGGGGGGAAAAGGG